GGAGCGTGCAGGAGGGCACGGCTCGTTGTGCACCACAGCGCCTTCCCCCGAGCCAGGCCAGGGAACACTCTGGGCACCAAAGCCTGGGTTTAAGATGTTTGCAGTTATTTAAGGTGTTTTGCTGCAGCTGCCCTGGTCCGTTTGCTTTGTGCTGAAGCAGATGGATCCCTAGAGCAACCCCGTCCGGTGTCCGTATGGTCTTTACTGTATCTTGCATGAAAACTCACAGTGACAAAACCCACAAGAACTCGATTGGCTTCGTGATGTCTTGGGGTTTTGTTTGCGAGAACAGAATAGTCTGGGGGTTCTAGAGGGAAATTACTGAAAAATAAGGAGGTCAGATGACGTCTGTGCTGTGGAAGCCAGCGCCGGGGGAGCACTGGGGAGCCCGCCCAGGTTTGGTCTAGCTTCTGCCTAACCGGTGTCCCAGTGCGGTGGCATCCCTGCCAGCCCCGAGGAGCTGTGAGCGTGGGAAGCGTGCCCACCCCGGGAGCGAGCCCCCGCTGCAGCGGGGCACCGTCCTGGCAGCAGACCTGCACCCAGCGCCGTGCCGGGGCCGCAGAAGGCACGTGGCCAGTGCAGGCACCGCGCTGGGCTACCTGTGGAGCTGGGGGGAGTGCAGCCCCCTCACTCTCCGTGTCTCTCCCGGGGTGACGTGGGCCGGGGCAGAGCACGGAGGGATTTTTCCTGCCCCGTGGAAAGGAGAGCGCCGGCGCCGCGGCTGCTTCAGCTCAGCTGCGCTGTGGACGTGGGCTCGCATGCAGCTGGTAACAGAGCGGGACTCCACTTTGCAGTTCCCTTTAAGAAAAAAATAGGGAATTACAGATGGGAGAACCTCTGGGGTAAAAAAAACCCAACCACCATTAAATATGCAAAGCCAAGAGCACAGGATTTAAATCACACCAGGACTGAGTTGCACGTGCAGTCTGATTTTATGCCCGCGCCTCCTGCGTTATGTGGCGTTCGTCGATGCGCGGCCCCGCGCCCCTCGTCCCGGTGCCAGCAGTGAGGG